TTTAATAATTTATTTTTAAAATTTCTAAACAGTAGTACTACTTACAAATTATTTACAAATTAACTTATTTTTTATTTATTTATAAGTGTATTTAGGACGGTAAATTAAACGATATTCAAAAAAGGGTACAGCGAATAATTTGATTTAGTAATAATTTGTTTATTGATTTGTTGAATGCTAATGATTGATTTATAATTTGTTTGGAATTCTCCATACGTCATATCTACCAGAAATCAGAGATTACTAGGAATTGCAATGAGGTTAGATAAGAACAATTAAAAACAATAGAACAATAATTAGGTTCTACCTACCTATACGTGGATTTACTTTTAGTAATTAGTTGGATTTAGTTATATACCTGAATTCCTTAAAAGGTTGCTGCTGTGGAGATACGTTTCATCAGTGTAGATAACATCATAACCATCAGCTCTATATATTTTTTTAGATATTCGGTTCGTTTGTCTCGAATATCCGTTTTTTCCATGAGTATTTTTCGGTTGTCATTTGTTTTTTGCCATTTAAAACCTAATTTCTTCAACACTTTTCATAACCATCGACGTTGGTTTTCGGTTTTGGCTGATTAATCTTTTTTCTGGGAGAGTTAAAGACATTTCCCGAGCTGCCTGAAGGAGATGAAAAATCGGAAACTCTCTCTTCTTCTTTAATGATTCTTTGGACGCTACGTTTAGAAATTTCAGTGGCTTCCACAACCATATTTAAAACCGAAGATTTTGTGTTGTTTTTTTCTTGCTCCTTTTTTTAAAAATTATACACATTGTAAACAATATGTCGGCCCTGACTGTGAATAACACGCTGTTAATAATAATTGTGATGGCACTGTGAAGAAAATGAAAATATAATATTTTAAAAAAACAAAGATTCCAAAAGAATATAAACTCAAATCAACATAAATCGTAACATATAAAGTAGTTAAAAAAATAGTTTTTCCAATATCAAATATTAACCGATTAATTGAAACAGACTGCAAGTAATTTTTGTTTTGCACCAGTCTCAAAACAAAAAAGAAATGAAACAATTTTATTAAAATTTCCTTAATGCGCCCCTATGTATTTTAATTTATGATAAAGTACCTACCTTTTGACCGCTTTTAATAAACTTGAATACGCAACAGGTAAACGGGAGAAAACACACAAACTTATTGAAGTTAACACCTCAAAGTCAGAAACACAACTAAACATGTTCAAGTCGATATTTTCACGTTGCATAGTACAATGCGTTTCGCATGAAAGTGGAAACTAAACCAAATTTCGTCTACTGCGCCGTGGTCAAGAGTGCTTGCACGGACATAACATAACATTATCAACAATTTACCTGTAGCTTCAGCAGTCAATTTAGAACCTTCGCAGCCCTTCTCTGCTTTTAACTCCTCAAATGCTTTTTTATATGTATTTAAAATTACACATTTTTCTTCAACACTAAATTTTGTTTTTTGCCCTTTTTTGGAGGCAAAAGAGTATTTCCATCCATATTTAAAACAAACAAACGATAATCTAACACAAACTGATTTTATTTAATATGGTGCGTTGTGTACACGGCTTCTCCCGTTCTATTTCAAACGCATGTACGTCTGCAGGCAGCCAATCACAACTATGCAACTCTCCGACACTCAGTGATCACGCCACGATCACGCGGCCTTTGGATTCTATCTGTTCAGCGGCCCAACTATAGTATATGTATGAAAATAAAAATGAATATTTCGCCTGAACCCCCAGAAAAAGTAAAGGTTTCACGCTACTGAACATATATTTTTCATTCAATTATAACCAAAACATTAAAAAAAATTCGATATTTTTTTTAACATTCTTTGACATTTTGAACATTAAAATTAATGTGTACGTTAAGAGATAATAATGGGTTCGAGCGTTCGTGACTACGTCGCACTCCTGGGCCAGCTGTCAAATGTCATGCGCAATATCATATGTTCTTGAATTTAATATGTAGTTGACTTTCAAGAAGTAAATCTGCATTAGTCTGCAGAGTAATGCCTCTATAGTTCTTACACTCCAGTTGATCGACCTTCTTATTCAACGGACATATTATTCCCTCACTTTACTCAATGTAAAATATAATTCATCCAGACTTTCCTACGTTCGTCTTTGATCTTTTGTAGTTCTTGAGGGATTACAAATTTGGGGCAATTTTAACATTAGTGGTAAAAGATTTTGGCAACTGTTAAAGCTACTTTTATTTAGAAAGTCTGTACTCTCCATGACTGGATCTGAAAAAATTTGTTTTTTATTTCCATACAAGCTGTAATCAAGAAATGCCTACATCTTTCCTGTTTTAATTCATAACCTAAATCATTAATAGTATGCGTAATGCGTCACCCCAATTTCTAGATATATGTTGTCACATTTTGTATTATCTTGAATATCAATTGTTTCAACATAAGTTTGTCAAAATATTGTGGATCCATATAAGTAAGCAATAGATCTTTATACATTTTGATAATTTCGCTGCGCAAATTTGTGCGATAACTACTTATCGCTTTGGCATTTTTTTTTTAATTCCATAAATTTTGGTAAAACCTATTCCATGGGTAAAAAGTTTCCATTCTAATCTTATGTTGCAGATAAAGTTAAAATTATCGCATAAAACCATAATTATCGTACACCAGGCTATTTTAAACAGTGTTAAATTCGATCGGAAACATTCGGACCCCACGCCACTTAATATCGCTTGTTCCACTGATAATTCGATTCGGGAAAGTACTTTTTAAGTTGAGAAAAGGCAGCAAATATTTGATTTCACGCAAACAAATCCTATGTATCTCTTGATACGTATTTCGACCTAATAGATCTCGTCAGAAGAGCTATTCACAGGGGTTCTCAACGTGAAAAATCAATATTTCCTGCCTTTTAAGAAGCAACAATAACATGGCTTCAATACGGACGCACTAGCGGCATCTAATTAAACAATCGTAAAATAGTTTCGAAACACAATTCAGATTTCTGCTTTATAATCTGAGCCTTCTAAAAATTGCAAGGCAAACAGACGTTGATAAAAGAGATTTGTTTCACGTAAACATAGGATTTGTTTGCGTGAAATCAAATATTTGCTGCCTTTTCTCATTTTATTCGGATTTACTCTGTGTGAGTACTAGAAGCACAATTCGCTAAGGATTTCTGCTTAGTTGTAAAAGACATGTCGTGGAATGCAAATTTTAGATTCCCCATGTTTCTTTTAACATCTTTTATCAACATCTGTTTGCCTTGCAATTTTTAGAAGGCTCAGATTATAAAGCAGAAATCTAAATTGTGTTTCGAAACTATTTTACGATTACTTTTTAAGTATTCCCTAATTACCCGAGCGTTGTGAACTGAAAAGCCGTCTTGATGGAACCAAACATTCTCCAGATTTAAATCAGAAAGATTAAGAATAGTGAGAACATAATTCTGTAACAAATCGTGGTATAATCTACTATTCAAGTTGCCCTCAATAAAAAATTGACCTATTATGTGGTCTCCTAAAATGCCAGTCCAAACGTTAACTTTTTAAGGACATCGAGTTCGGCAAACAACATTGGTTGTGCTGGTTTTACCGCGCCAATACCTCATAATTGAAGGATTGTTTCTACCTACTAACGAAACAGAAGATTCATCAGTAAATGCTGCTGCGTTTTTGAATATTTAAAATTATTGTAACCATACTTTCTCATGCTTTCACTACAGTAACATTGCTAACATCTAACTCTCTAGCAACACTTCTAAACGTGTTGAACCTACCCCTATTGTTGCACAAATTTGTGTATCCCAGTATTCTCTTTCCTTAAATTTTTCTGGTGACACTTTTTGAGCGTCACATTTTTGCAATTTTTGAGGCAATAACTCAAAATTATTAAGTTGTACACAACAATATTATAAACTGTAGGCAAAGAATTGGTCTCCCTTAAAAAAAAACAAAGAAATTAAATCTACACACTGTTGTTCAGAAGTACCACCATTTAACCATTTTATTCTTTGAACCTTTTCTGCAAACGTATAAACAGACATGTTTACAAAAATAAATTAAAAATCTACGCTGTTATTGCTGTAACAGCCACTGTATAACAAATTATTGGCAACGGGAAAACGGAGATTCGTGAAAAGTCGACGGCGCGTTGTGGTGTTGCCATTTATCGTGTGTATATCTAATTTAAAACATAATGTACTGTATCTACAAATAAGATGTCGAGGTTAAGGGGGCCTGGTTGGAACAAAGATGTCGTAAAATAGAAGAACAGCAAACAAACCATGTGTTTATTATACACCAAAAACTGGGTAAAAACTAACCGACACTCAGAGAAAAAGAACTCCTTACTTCATATTAAAAAGAAAATAATCCTCGACTAAAATGCTAGACAATTATTCATATATTTTATGGTATTGAGCAGTGCGCTCGAAGAGTTTTTTTATATATTCATTCAGTCCATTCTTCCTTCATTTAACAAACGGAGGTAAAAAAAAGCCAACAAACAAAACAAAAATGTGAAAGCTACAAGCCCTAATCAAATTACTAGCACAAATATCGGAGAAAAGTTAGGAATTAATTTCTCTACAAACAATTTGTTTTACAATTTTCAAAATTCATATCGTTATGATAGGTATGAATTTTGTGGGCAATTAAGTGATACTTATTATCGACCATATTTTATTCTGTGTACTGTAACTTTCTGTTCTCAAATATTAAAACTGTCTTTATATAATTTTTTAAGTGCAATTTCGAATGTCTTTTTTTCAGAAAAGAAGAAGAAATAGCAAATAATATTCACGCTGTATGTAAATTCATCAAAAACCAAAGAGCAGAGTGAGAGAATGCACCATTAACATACAGTATAATACATACAATAAGACTACTAATAAGCTATAAATAAGTAAATTGACAGGCATCTCAGTATAAATGCAAGAGTGACAAAGACATATGAGTTAAGTAATGGACAAACCTACACCAAAAAAGAACAAAAAATAAAAAAAATCAATGTTAAGGAATAATTAAACAAAAAATTTTAATACAAATATATTTGTAACAAAAAAACAGTACAAGTTTTACTACAATATAAAAATCAGGAAATCATTTTCAACAAAAATATAGTACAGCATTTGTTGAATATTTCCACAAAATGTCTGAAACAGCATAGGGATCAGATCATCTGTACATAAACTCAGAGGATTCAGACTTATCTAAACAAGGAAATGCAACAAATATAAACAAAAACAGTCAATTATTCTACTTTGGCTATAATATCAGATTCTCTAAATATTTGGTATTCTGCATTATCTTCTACATTTACTTTGGTGCCACCATATTCAGGGAGAAGTACTTTATCACCTACTTTAATTGTAGGAGCAGCAAATGAACCATCCTGAAAAATAAACAAGGTCAATCAGAAAATATTTATTTTTAGCATTATAGCTTTCAGAAACTTTATCCATGCACAATTCAACTAACCATTAAAATTTTGAAAATCCCAAAAAGTATTTAGATCTGGTTCTTCTTTTGTACTTAAAAAGTACAACCATCCGTTGAAAGCTTTCTTAAAAATTAATGATAAAAATGTAGAAAAAGGCCAAGGAAGGAATTTTGCACTTAACAGGGTTTTTAACAGAACACAACTTGCCCATGAATTTGATGAAACATTTACCATCATTAATCAAAAGCATTTGCCCAAATTCAGATATTACCAAATCATTTAAATGTGGTAGTACCAAAATTAGCAATATTATTAAAGATGTTAATGGAAATGAAGCTCACTTACAATTTGTAGAACTGTTAAGAGAAAATAAATTTATTTTGGCTTATTCCCATTTAAATAGTAATTAAAATAAATTTAGTTTAACAGCAGACAAATTGACCAGCAGAAGTTGTTCCAAACATTTGTCTTGTTGCTAGGCTGATTATTAATCACAATATTAAGGATTGCTTTTTAGTCCTTTTGCCAGTCCAAGATTAAACAGGAACTGCTTTGTTCAATTTAATTAAAACATTTTTCAACAAAAATTGCATCCAATATGAAAAAAATTTAATTGGATTTGCAGCTGATGGGGTATGCTAAAAAAATGTCCCCATTTAATTTAACATGTCTGTCACAGCTTTCAATCCTGCACTGCCTATGCTTGTGAAAAGTTACCCTCTGAAACAGAACAGTTAGTGAAAGAAGCCTCTTGTTTTTTCTGAAACCACATATTCTATATTATATTTTTCTTATTTTAGGTTCAGTCCAAAAAGGTTAGACCAATACAAGGTATTTCAGGAGTTCCCCAATGTGTCACCTCATAAAATTTTACATCCCTCTCAGATCTTTCAGGTCAGGCTGATCAGGTTTTTGTTAGAATCATAGATTTTTATCTCAACATGCAGCATTAATACTCTACTTCAGAAAACCAAGATTATAGAGATGTTATGCAGGCTGATATTATTTTACAAAAACTTCAAAAACCTGGTATTAAATTGTAATTGGAATTTTTAGTGCATATGATACCTTTTTTCAATAGGCTCAATAGATTAATGCAAAGTGAAAAGCCCCAAGTCCATAAAATATACATCAAAATAACTCCAGCTTTAAGAACTATAGAATGTTATATTAAACCTAAAGTTTTACAAAAAGATTTATATAATACTTAACCCTTGAAACTTTATTGATGCTCAAAATATATACATTCTAATCATTAATAAGTACAAGAAAAGTAGATACAAGATATTTTGGAAATAGTAAAAATTAAGAGTTTAGATTTTTATATCGAAAGTGTTAAACAAGTAACAATTAAATCTCCTCTAAAAAAATCCACAATTAAAAAATGCAATCTTTGATGTCGAAACTATAAAACCAAAAAAACTTTCATTTCTGATGTGGCGGGAAGTTCTCCTAACCTGGTTAGTCCAGAAAATTACTAAGATTTAGATAATGAGTGGAGAATGTTATTATATTTTTAACTTAATGATATAAGATATTGGAAAAAATGCATTTGTAAAAATAGGTGATGATATTCCTTAAAATTTCTCGCTTTAGTAAAATTTGTTTTTAATGTGCTGTTTACCTCATTCAAGTGCTGCGATAGAGAGAATCTTCTCTCAAGTAAATTTGAACAAAACACAACCTTGGAACAGATTAAAAATTTGAAACCATGGAGGGAATTTTATATACGAAACATTTGATTGGAAATCATACATGCTTTAATTTTAATGCAAGTGTAAATATGATCAAATAGCTAGGAACAAGTGAGACCTATTTAAATAAGAAAGATGATTCTAACAACTCTCGACTATATCCTAGTTACAATCGCTACAATCATCTTTCAGTTTCACTAGTCACTAGAGCAAAACTTACCTAATTATTTTAAGATTGAAATATGAAGGAATGTTTTTTTTTTTGTTAGGTTCTTGGAAAGTTTTATTTTGTAATGTTTTTCTAATATATTTCTTATTTTGGTTACAAAAATATACATGTATTTTTTATAGATCTCATTTTTTTCATTCTTACCCCTTAATAAGAATCTTTTATTGAATTTGGAAAATCTCACGATTTTTTAAATAGAATTCTAACAATTTTTTGTAGTGTTTTGGTAACACTGCTTATAGCCAGTGACTCTCTAGTGACTCTCACCACTCTTCTTTCTTCCATTCTGTTAATAATATATTCATTCCACAACTGTTTTTAGGTAGTAAAGTATCTTATGTCTGTTGTTATATAGTAGGTTCACTCAGCTTGGAAACATGCCACCCAGAAATTCCTACACCTCATTATTTTTATTATTAGCTAAAATAAACTTACTGTCGCAGTTTTCCAATTGAAAAACAAATAATAATCATAAATAATAAAACTGTATATTAAAAAAAACTCTAAAATTTCAAAAATAAACATTAAAATCTTTTTAAAATATTAAATAAATTGCACATGTGAGTCCATTTCAAACAAGGTGAGAAATTTAATTTAACCTGTACAGAGACTTGTGGATGACTAGAAAATTGTGGTGATTGAAACCATTTTTTCTATTTCTACTACTCCCTATTCTACAACCTTGTTATTAAACTTTTTCTTTAAATTTATGTGGTTTTATTTTGTTAATAAATTCCTACTTCCAGATTCATCCCAATTTACAATCAAAATTTGACAGAAGTAAAGATAGTGCAAACACTCTTGACCACAGCGCAGTAGATGAAATTTGGTTTATAATAGAACCTTTCTGCCTTTACATGAATTTTGACCCCACCTTCACACAGCTCCATGGTCAAGAGTGTTTACACTATGTTTACTAACAATCAGTTACTAAATTTATTTGACAGTTGGAATTACCTTTAGTAAATATATCTCAATGTTGTTTGGAAGCTATTTTCTTGTGATAGTTTAACATTAATTATCATCTTTAATGAGAATTATTTCAGTTCAAAATACTTTTATTTTGATGTTTCAATTTGCAGTTCAAAAATAGTTTTTAAAATACAAATTAAATTTATTATTTTGTGTTAAGTGTAAAATAAGGAAACAATATAATTTGTTCAATTTGTAATTTGGGAATGATCTCTAGGGTAAAAATACATGTATCTTCAATTGAAGCTTTGGTTAATTTCCACTAAAAATAACAAAGCGTGAATCTCCTCACTATACTGATATATTTTTGTCACTTATAGGTTTGAAAACAATAAATCATTCTATAGGTAATTATTTACTAAGCCGGAACGCCTTAAAAATGCCCAATTTTTTGTGGACTTAGCCGAAAAAGTAAAAACAACCTCAAATTTTAATGTTTTCTTTGCTTTAAACTATTAAAAGTGCCCAAATAATCAAAAAAATCAGAAAAAATACAAAAAAAGTATTATGAACCAAAAAAAAATTACATAAAAAGCAAAGAAAAGTATATATAAATGTCTTAATAAAAAAAACGTAACTAAAACATATTAAATATCACTATTTTTTACTGTAAAATTATGAAAAAAATGCGTAAAATTGTTTAAAATAATCAAGATTTTTAATATTTCAAAACAATATGGCGGCCATGCGCAAGAAGTTAAATTTTATGTACTTTTGACATTGTTGCCAGTTTTAACATTTAAAATACCTAAAATTTAATGAAAATTACATTTACATTTTAATATTAAAAATGCAAACCAATAAACCAAATCTAACCCAACAAGAAAACATGACAATAAAACTAAACCAACCTAACCTAACCTAACGCTCGTAAAAAAGCAGTAATAAGAATAAGATTTTGTAATATAATTAAAAATCAAATTTTTTATTTTTCATAAGAAAATATGATAATAAACGTAAAGAAACGTAACCAAACCTAACCTGCCCCTTGTAAAAAAGGTATAATTTTCAGTTAAAAGTAGGAATATAATTAAAAATCAAATTTTTTATTTTTCATAAGAAAATATGATAAACGTAAAGAAACGTAACCAAACCTAACCTGACCCTTGTAAAAAAGGTATAATTTTCAGTTAAAAGTAGGAATATAATTAAAAATCAAATTTTTTATTTTTCATAAGAAAATATGATAATAAACGTAAAGAAACGTAACCAAACCTAACCTGACCCTTGTAAAAAGGTATAATTTTCAGTTAAAAGTAGGTAATAATAAAATGTTATTTTAATGTCCAATTTGAAATTAATTAGAAAACATAATTTTGAATAACTATGGCAACACTGGTTAAAATTACCATTTTGACCATAAGAAACAGTTGTCATTCTTGTCATTTCTTGTTGTTTCATGGTAAATAATGGCGAATAATGGCGGTGGCTTTTAAAAATCGGGCATATTTTAAATGGAAATTACATAAAAAATAACGTCTTGCACCGCATAAAAATCATTGCACAATTATTAGTAAGTGAAGCAGAATTCATTGATATAAATTTCATCTCCGTAAACATGGTTCCGGCTTATTACACTAGTACCATTCTATATTTCCTGCTATTTTAAATATTAATAAAAACATTACTGAAAAATATTGCTTATCTATTTTGGGTTTCTCCAATATTACTGATATTAATGTCTTTTTTTCTGTGTGAGTGGAAATCTTCTAAATGGCATATCAAGTGAAAGTGAAATATACCTTACAGGAGTTGGATTCAGGGTAGATGGAGTACATCAGAAGGCATTTCCCCTTTTGGTCTTACCCCAGGAATATATCCATGGTACCTTGTCTACCAACTAAATCCATATTTACTACAACTGACCTGTGGAGCACCTTTTAAAAACATTTATAATTCTTCTAATATAAAAATATTACATATTATTTTAAACCATGTTTGAAGATACAACTAAAAGTTTAATATAAATATTTTTACTTACTTGAAGTCTAGCTCCTTGTCCCACTGCAACAACAGTACCTTGTAAAACTTTATCTTGGGCTTTTTCCGGAAGAACAATACCACCTTTAGTTTTCGACACTGCTTCAAATTTTTTAATGAGGATTCTATCAAAAAGTGGGATCAATCTTTTAGCTGCCCCTGACTAAAGAAAATGTCATTATAATATACTTAAAAGCATTATTTATCTTAAAAATATTATTTGGAACACTTTCTTACCATTTTGGTGATTGTTAAAAATGTTTTACAGGAGTATTACAAAAACGTGGTGTTTGTGAACACGTTAGAAATTTCTGGAAGAACGAAGAACTTACCCGGCTCCTCGATTATGACACGAGGTAGGAGGTAACGAAGTAACGAGGTTATCGGATTGGTTATGGCATTCGCATTCAGTCAGTGCTGCCACCGCCTTTCATTGATAACAACTGTCAAAATCATATAAATCCGCGTAATTTGAAATATACGCTGATTGATTCTTTAGAGAGTAGAACCTTATATCGATGGTCCAGTGCACAGATGTTTTAAGTGCATTTTTAGTAAAATTTAGGTAAATACACTAACATTTATAATTTCAGACATGAATTTTCTTATGCACACAAGTTGTAAGTAAAATATTTAAATTTGTTGACACCAGCGTCATCTTCTAAAAGTGGCAAGTACTTCTAGACTACAGAATTCTACTCTACGTGTTGTAAGAAGAGCTGTAACCATAGCCATTCTTGAATTTCAGGGAGTAGTAATTGACAAGCCGGTGCACGGAGGAAAGGATCCACGAGAGCTTAATTTCCCGACTCAGCACCCCCCACTACTGTGTTTATATGTGCACGGACTAACGAATGGCGGGAAGTTTGAAATATATGGTATCAATTAGGACCGGTAGTTCGAACGCTAATCAAAACTTGAATTTGCAAATACATCAAAGCTGTTGTCAAAATTGCTTATTATTATTATTGATTTGTAAATAAAAACATGAAATTAACATCAGAAAGAGTTTAATTATGGTTTATTTTAAATTAAAAAGCAAAATCATACAATTGAATAAATCCAATGACGTATAATATATAGACTCGGTGAACGCTTTAAAAAGTGTCCAAAACATGAATACCTTTGTTATTGTTTATTGTTTTGATACGAAGATACACGAAGTTCATGATTTCTTACGAAGCATCACGAAGTTGATCTTGTGTTTGAAAACATCATGGACGTATGAAAGCATTTTCTCCATTTTGTGTGACAAGCAAATTTTATTTTAAATTGTTGAGAGTTATTTACTTACTATTTTAGTAAAATGCCATACTATTTTATCAAAATAATTATTTCTCTTATAGATGGGACAAAAAGAAATCATAAATATTTAATTTTAATTAAAAAATAATTATTGTCATTAACATATAAATGAGCACGCCGCTGTTGTGATAAACATACCTTCAACCTTGAGCCGAGATCTTTCGGACACTCGATTCTATAGCGAGAATAGGGGACTGCGTAGTCTATATATTATACGTCATTGAATAAATCAGTCAACATAACCTCAAAATGTTTCCTATTTGATTTTAATTAAATATTTGAGTTTTAATTAGCGTTCGAACAATCGGTCCTTATTGTATTAAACTTTTGTTTTTTTTATTCCTATACATACTTTGGTAACACAATCTATATCTATATTTTTTACAGAATTAATTATAAATACTAATTTAATTTTTTAATAATAATTTTTATTTAGAAAACTGTAAATAATAACACCTGCTACCTTTAATCATTTCATTATTATTTTAGTTTGTAAAAAAACTTAAAAATTTTCAATATAATAATGATTGGTATAATATACTTTGTTTACGCTTGTACAGAACAGATATGAGGTAAATAGTCATATTTTTTAGAAGAAAATATTACAATGTATAGACTGTGTTTACAGTCTTGCGATTTTATTTTTAAGTGGTGTTGTCAGCAATAACGGTATTTGTAGAATAGTGGATGATCGAATTTGGTTCCTTTCTCAAATACAGGCCATTGAAGTTTCCAAAAATTTAGATTTTTTTGTAATATCTCTTTAGCGCATTAGAATATTTAAATGAAATTTGCTGTACATGACGTATAGATTGAATGGCCACTACATGTATAAGAACCATGTAATAATCTAAATATACATAGATTCGGGATAATGTCGTCTATAATTTAAAGAAAAATTTCAGTACGCCTCTGTAATATGCAATTTCCAAAACCATTTTTTGTAAGTAAATTCTATATAAACAACCTTTAAAATTTTCTTTATATCTCTTATAACAAAACTTGTAGTAGCTGTACAATCAATCCATAAATAATGCTTACCAAATTTCATAAGAATATTCTTATGTTATTAGATGACATACCATTATTTTTTGATGAACTATTACCTATAAAAAAAATCACAAGACTGTAAACACCCTGTATAATATACAGGGTATACAATGTATATGTACCACAACATTTTACAGTTGTTTCCAATTTAGGGAAAGGTGAAATAAATACAAGATGCATGTAGTATATAACAATTAAGTATTTTAATTTTTATTTAAATAGTACAGTCAGTGTACTATTTATTTATTTAATACACGGGATAACCCCATTAATAGTTTAAATTACAATATACAATATCACAGTTAGGATTCAAAACTTGAAATTGCTATATAAAATCAATATTAAAAAGATTAAAAAAATGAGACTAAAAATCTTACATACTAAAAAACAAACAAAGTATAACAAGAACAAAATTGAACTGAGTTAAAGTTATATTGAAAATATCAAAATCGCGATCATTTAATAGCCCCTTTTATCTATTCCATGGGTTGTGAATACCATAGGTTGTTCTGTGGAAAGGAATATTGAAAACAATGTGGTACCGTAGAGCTTGATGGGGAACATTAAAGTTAATCTGGCTTAACAGGTTTGGACAATCAATAAATCCATGTATGATCTTATATATAAATATAGCTCCTAACATGTCACGACGGTTCTTGAGTGAGGGTAAAGATAATTGTTGTTCGGTACAGAAATAATCATGATTTTTATGCTTGTATTGCTTATTTAATACTTGCTTTCCATCACGAGCTACAAAGAAAAAAACTTAAATTATAAATAATTATATAGTATCCATCTAATATGAAGTTATCATCGGTTAAGTGTCTTACTTACATGTTTTGCTCTGATTGCAATTAAAGTACATAATATTTTTATCTTGCTTGTATTTAGACACAACATAGAAGTTGCAGGATGTTTCTTCCATTGATTGTTTCAAAATAATAAATTCTTAAACAAAAAAAAATTAAATTAGGAAATGTCCATTACTATATATTTTTAATTATATTTTATTAAGTACATAGAAATATTCTACAATATTTTAACAAAATATATCCTACTAAATTAAATATTAAAATAAAACTTACCATCCATATTTGTAAAATTAATTGTTTGACTTTCAAACTTTAAATTATGAACATTTTCCAAATGATTAATTAAAAATTTTCCTTGCTGAAAGAAATTATCACAATCAAGTTCCAAACATTTAAAACCCCATACATTTTTAGCATAAAATATGCGTTCAATCTGTTTAAAATGAATTTGTGTGGCGTGTCTATTTAAAGTAAATTGTCTTGAAAACATTTTATCACAATATTTACACGTTACAGGCATTTATATAAAAAAATAATAATAAGACAACAAATATAAACATAAGATATCAAATAAAGTTAGGTTAAGTCCAAACTTCCAAACAAATTCATAAATGTCAAACTGTCAAATTCAAACTGTTCCATTCCCAAAAGCTTAGGTGGTGGGGGGTGCCTAGTCGGGAAATTAAGCTCTCGTAAAGGATCCTACTGCCGCGCCTCTAGCGGAATTTATATTATTATATTTGGCGGTAAATTTAAATCGTATTTTGTTTTAAGAATATATTGAAAATTGTGACATTGAACGTTTATATTAATATAATTACAATAAAAATGTTAATCTGTCATTTACGATAAAATTATGAACAGAAACGCTGTTTTAATTTTGATTTTTCTATATATGCTATTGTCGTTAACTCATGTTTCTTGAACAAGCGGAACATTTGCGAAGAAAATAAGTTGATAAGAGGCTGAAGCCGAAGAAGATAAGCTAAAAATAAGGAAGCCGATATTTGTATGCTACAAATTCACTTTAAATATTTTAAATTTCCAGAAAAGCTATGGAAAAATTACAAAAAGGAAATACAGAAAAAAGGTGGTGGCGTAATAAAAGAAGCATGTAGTAGCACTTTAATTTTTTTTAAGGCAAATATTAAAAAATAATGATTTTGCTTAATAAAACACTCTTAATTTCTCGAAATAAACATGTCAAGGATAACTTCTGTCCAACTAGACATTTAATACATATGATGAAATAAAAAATAATACACATAAAGGTTTTAATAACAAATTAATATAACATTTAATTGATCAACTTTTAAAAAGTCCAAGATGTCTAGTATATAGATGATCATTCTCTCTAACTTTTTCTTCACAATCAGCTACAAATTGGTTAATATCGGAAGAAGTTGGTTTTTTCAATACATTTTCGGATTTTACGCTTCTTTTCTTCTTTGTGCTTACAAATCTTAGTTGCTTTTCAACTTTCTTATTGGTAGGTTCGTTTGAAGATTTTAAAGTAATGTTTTCTCCTTCTTGTGCAATTACATCTATAATGCCATCCATCATTTTCCCAATTTTTCTCCTGGTATCTTCACACAAATTACTGGAAGACAGTGATGCATATATAACATCCAACTTTATTTTTAAATCCTGGTTATCTTGACCCTCTTTAGCTACATTTTGATTTACCAAACTCTCAATCATTACATTATCATTTTGTGCCTCAATATTATGAGAAGTTATCCTGAATTGAAAACAATGTGTGATCACTGCATGTATATGTTTGCATAAGTTATTTTTTATAAAGAAATCAAGACAAGTACATGTGAACTCATGAACACAAGTCTGACAATTTGTGCAGAACAGATAACAATTATTACCTTTTTTATAACATTCTTCTTCATTTTTCTCAACAATGTATTCTTCATTATTTTTAGTTATTGGCTTTACCTTCCATGTACTCTCATCTACTTTACTAATATCCTCTACCTTAATATCCTGGCTTTTTAAGTGAGTTTTTCGTATCAAATCCATGCGATAAGAATTATTACCTTTAATATTTCTCTTTAACTTTTTTACTGTTATGTCTCGAATCAATTTTAACAATGCGTGCAAACAACTGTCAACCCTTTTATTTTTCTTTCCTTCAAAATATATATGTTTCAGAGTTCTATGCATAGCTTCTAGAAACATATTGGTGTTGATTCCAAGACCTTTTCTGTAGCAATATGCCCATAGCTTACAACGATCCATGTAATAAGTTTTAAAATATTCTCCAAAGGCAACAGTATCTTCACAGCACATTAACTCGGATACTAAAAAATCTTGGAGTTCTTGAAATTCATCAATGTCTACAGTTTGTAATAACAAGCGCAAACTCTTATATACTTTTGCCTTTGCAATTTGATCACCCTTAACTTTTGTTAAATTTTTACGCCAATTCCTATCCACATGCCATGTACACAATAGTTGATTATCAGGCACACTCATATTGTTGATCCACGCATTATAAAATTCTGGTGCATCATCTGACATAAACACCTTACACTTTATATCACCAGTCAGCATTTTAATAACTTTAAAAAAATGAGTTAGTACATTTGTGTCTACTCTGTTAGATAGCAAGAAGGCAACTGGTACACCTTCACCAAATTCATCAACAATCATTAGGGTGGTTAACAAAAAATCGTAACTTGTTGTTCCATGAGTCGAGTCAATACATATTTTATCTGAACCAAAAGTTAACAACTGTATCTCTTGAAATTTTGTCATAAATATCAACACAAAATCTTTTTCCTCATATATTTCTGAAAATTCATTTGAACCTTGGGCTTTATAAAATAACACTGGAAATTGTTCTTCTAAAGATTTCAAACGTTCAACCCATAAATGAACACTTATAACATCTTTCTGATGTAACTGAATATGTTGTTTTAGGTTAAACTCTTTGGTGATATTACGTAAGTCTTGACGATCTAAAAGACTAAGCCGTTCTACTGTTTCTTTTGACATACTATCACGAATGTCATCCAAAATTTTTTGAAACGATACTCCTTCAGCTATTCTTCCTAAAAATAAATAAAAGTTAAAAATTAATCACATTATCAGAAAACACTAAAGTACCTGCTATTTGTTTCCTTTCAGTGTTAGTTAGATTGATGTGAGTTAAGCTACATTTGTGACCAATATGAGGAGTGTACAAAATGGCCCTGATTGTGTTTTCTTCGGAAATTAATTCTAATGTTGAAGGACATGTAATTGACAATTTGGCCGAACCTTGAGATTTTAAATGTTTTAGTCTATTAGTGTGAGAAATAGACATATATCTGCTGGGTTTTATGGACCGGTGACAAACATAGTACCTTTTTTCCTTTTTATTAATAATTTTGTTTCCACTAGTTTTAACATATAGACACTTCATTTCCTTTTCTTTAGATTCTTTCCATTCTTGGAAATCTAAAAACAGATTTTGTTATTCCACTTTTGTTAATAAAAAGAAAAAAAATACAGACCTGAAAGATTCTTAAATTGTTTCTCTTCTTTGCATATCTCGATATTATGATCCGCAATTATATGATCTCGGAGCTCGGAATAAGTTGCCAAAAGACGGGAGTAACAAGGGCACACCAGCGACTTCTTGTGCGTCTTGTGATCTAATCCATGTATAAGTCTCAGATGTTTATATAAATTAGACGGTCTGCTAAAACTTTTATCGCAAATTTCACAAAAGGATTTTGTCTCCTTTAAATGGTTCTCCATTTTCAAAATGTTGACTAAAATTATGTTTCACAACAATTTAACAATTTAGCATTAAACTGTGCTGCAACCTGAAGTTGTTTTATTTTACCGCCAAATTTAAACAATGTACATAAATTCCGCTAGAGGCACGAGAGTAGGATCCTTTCCTCCGTGCACCGGCTTGTGTAATTGCAAGAGAAAGTGATGTAAAAGTAGGCGTGGCTCCCTGTGTGAGAGATCTCCCTAAGGGAATAACAATTTCTACTGATGTAGGTAAGAGAAATTGTAAATGGGAGCGAAAATAACAATACATAACCTTTCAAAAACCTAGGGAAGTATTTTGTTTTTTAAAAAGCGGAAGTTAATAAAAGATGGATATCAATCATATGCTCTACTGGAATTATATTATGTTTAATGATGTTTTGGAGGCAGTTGAAGATCTTCAAATTGGCCGGGATGTCCTCCAACCAACGGACCCATTTCTTTTGTCAGATAGAAAATTTTTACAAATTTTAAAATATATTTTGGAATATTCAAAGGTAGCAATAGTAGCAGGGTAGCAGTTAAGATTAAACTGCTCCAAAAAATCACTACTTTTTATCACCGTGACAATACTGGAGCAGTCACATTTTGTCACAGCTACACAAAAATCGCAGGTTGGCCCACCACTAAGGGGAGTGATCAGGTTGACGGTTGACAGTATCTTGTCCTTTGTCAATAATTAACTTTTGTGATGGGTTAAAATTTTCATTGAAAACCCGGCAACACTGTTAATAGTTTCTCTCATTCCTTTCTACTCCCCGTATTCAAGAATACAGCTTTTTAAAATCGAGAGAAATTATGATGGAGTAGAAAAGCGAGTTAGCTTAGTGGGGAGTAAAATTTTCTCTTGATTCAAGAATAAAGCCCCAGATTATAAAACCAGGACGATTTTCACATTTGGTTTCATGATGCTATGAATAACAAGATAGGATCTTCCCGTATTACAAAATCGGTCGTGTTCGCGCATGCCGTCATTGGAGAGTAGAATTTGAATTCTTGTTAAAGTTAAATGGGATTTGCATGTATTCTGTAATGAAATTACTAGACGAAAATAAGTTAAGAGGTTCAATAATTACAATAATTTTACACATAAGGATATCTCCAAACTATTTATTAAAGATTATTTATTGACACCAAAAAACTGACATTTCGAATGTGTAACTCTCCAATGACGTCACGACTTATGCGCAATATCTTATCTTCTTATCATAGTCACAGAATAATAAACAATCAGAAGGGCCACTCTCAGATGCCGCCTTTGAAGTTTTTCAGCACGCGCGCCATGTTTTAGGAGGACACAGACATATGATTTGTGTGGTTATGTAATTGTTTATATTTATGTTTAATTATATTATATTTATGTTATTATATTTAACAATGTTAATATAATTGTATAGTATGTCTATGATTGCCGTAAGTCAAATAAACCTGGTTAATTTTTCCATGCACACCACATAAACAACACTAATTTCTTTAAAATCCTCCTAAAACATGGCGGAACGTCTGCGCGGAGGAGATGCGCGTACTTAATTTTCCGTGGAGAGTGGGTATTCCGTTTGTTTATTATTCTGTGTCATAGTATCATGTCTTGGTCCCATTGAAGATAGCCTCAAATTAGCTGTCAATTAAGATTCACAGAACGAAATATTGCGTTGGCAGTGTTGCCATGTTCTTATAATGTATATGTTATATGCTTCAAATACAAAGAGATAAAGCTTTTAAAAGGTACATTTTTATCATATTATTTTATGGATTCTGCAATTTTATACCTTATATAAAATATTAATGAAGTAATATTTGTTTCGTTTGATATTAGTTGTAATAAATTATCAGAAAATTTTTTTGGCAATTGCCCTTTGGTAGGTTAGCGGATAGATTTGGCAATAGAGTCAGAACCCTCAAACCACCAGCTGCCAGATTGCAACAGATGCCTTTTAAATTTTATTATTTATACTGACATTTTACTATTTACTGTTAAAAACTGTTTTAAAACTATTTACTTTTTCTTTTTTTCGTAATCGTTAAATATTAGTTTTTAAATATCTTATTGCTTTTAATTGCGTATGTTTCATTTGTAATGTAAATTTCAACACTGCGAAACACCAATATTTCATTCTGTCAAACCCATTTGAAGCTAACTTCAATGGGACCAAATGTGAAAATCGTCCATGAAATCAATGAAATACACAAACTAGCGCCCTCTTTTAGTAGATATCTGCAAATAACACCTTCAAGAAAATTTTTGTGAAAAGTCAAATTTCAAATCATTGCTAACTTCAAACTTCATAATTTTATTTTATAGGTTTTGTTTCGTAACAAATTGTAGTAACTTATTTTAAGTGTTTGCTATTTCTACCAATTTCTATAAAAATGCCCAACGTTCCAAAAATACGGATACATGATGTGAATCCCTTTATGCAAACTATACGTAATTTCTTGCTTGGTAGAAAACATACTTTAGCCCTCAGGTAAGTAAATTTCACCATTCCATATCAAATTTAAACTGTTCTTAGGGCCTGGTAATTCAATTAAGCCTTTGTTTAATTTTCTAGAATATTCAATAAAAATATTGTTTTGGAATGTTTATTGTTTAACATTAAAATTTAGCAAGTATACAACAAATTAAATTTGTTTAAAATTAATGCCCTTGTGTTTAATGCCCTTGGCTTCTGTTGGCCATATTACTTTATTGGTTCTATCTTTTTAGTATTCTTCATTGCTACCTATTTTCTGCTTTTTGTGTTCACAAAATCTTGAACTCATCTTCGGCAGATGTCACTGTTTCAAACCATTTCCTAGGCAAATCTCTTTTTTTTTTCTTTTCTGTTCAGGGCTCCACTAGTGGTTTCTCACCTTTGCTCTCATCCTGCTTTGGAATTTCCTCTACAGTTATTCCTATTGTATGACTAAGCCATAGTTGCAGTTGCTTTAAATTCTTTCCCAATTATGTTGTTTACAATTTTTGATTTTTTACTCCCAAATATTCAAATTAGCTCACTTTGTCAATACACTTCTTTTGCTCCTCTATGTTAATTTTCAAATTTCTTTTATTGTTGTTCCCATCATCATGTATTTTAATTTAGTCCCATTACTCCAAACTCTTGCCTGTTTCCCAAAACTTCTTTCAAACTCAAAATCTCTTTTTTACTTCTTTCGATCTTATTAATAAGACTACATTATCTACTTATGTTATATACTGGTTTATTAGGTATACATATATATATATATATATATATATATATATATATATATATATATATATATATATATATATATATATATATATATTTTATTTTTATTTTACTTTTTTGGCAATGACTCTAAAATAATATTAGATACTGTTTTTGAAAAGTAATCTCCTTGTTTTAGTACAATAACTGTACAATAAATGAGGACTGCCTTAGCAACTATCCTTTAATTGCTACTTTACTTGTGGTTTGTCCCATATCATACACTGTGTCTATGTAACTTGGAACCAAACGGAAAACCTTTTTATTATTAATTTTATGAAAAACAGTTATTCTTCATAAAAATCTCTGGATGATCTAAAACCTATGATCTAACCATCAGATATCAACTTTTATCAATCTTATACGAGGTATGTCAAAAAATATGATATTTGCTCAAGAGTAAAGTACATTTATATTTTACAAAATCAAAAGTTTTTATTAAAAGTTGTTTGGAAATAAAAACTATGTTTTAATATCTAATTGCATTGAAAAAAAATTGCAAATTTTTCTCCAATTGTTCTGATAAAAAGTGATAAGCAAATTTCACAAAACAAAATACAATAAAAATCTATTGAACATTAACAAGTTAATAACTTTTTTTCTATCAGAACGGAAGAGTTATTATTTTTGTAATAAATATAAATTATGTTCAGTATCAGTAAATAATTTGAGAAAAATTTGCAATTCTTTTTTATTAAGGTAAACAACCAGTCCCTACCACTGACCCTTAAATTCTAAGGAAATGACTTGAAATTAAATTACATTTGTTGCAAGTATTAATACCTTTATTATATTTGGCAACTGTGTACTGTTGTACAACACTCAAGCTTCAGCCATTTTGTTGTATACCCCTTAGAGTAAAGATGGGAGTATTCGAATACTGGAATCGAGTAGTATCCGATTCCTTACAGAATCAATTGTACTCGAGTACTCGAACTGGAAACCGATTGAGTACTAAGTACTGAATTAACTGAATACCTGCCGAATCACGCCGATTATAGAACGGTCAGAAATTACAGTAATGTTCGGGTCATTCGGAATTTATCTGTTCCTGGGACCTCGGTTCCATCTGAAAGAATCTTCTCGAAGGCAGGGCAATTAACGAATGATCGTCGAAACCGACTATTGCCAAAAAACTTGGACAAAATTATATTTTTAAACAGTTTTATTCTTAATGTTTCTGTTTTATTTTTTTGTAATATATTCTAGAATGTTTTTTTTTATATATATTTTTAATTTTTATTTTTAATGTTCATTTAATATTTGAACTGTTTTTTATTTTTTAGACAATAGTAGAATACTGAAAATTTTGTTCTTAGCTAAATAATTACTTTAATTATGCCAAAAACTATCTAAAATGTTTGTATTTGTTTGCCAAAATTATATTTATATAAAAAAAAAAACTACGCAAAAAACAAATAATGAAAATCATAGATAAAGATTGACAACCGACTATTAATTCAAAATCTGATATCCACAGTACTTGGTACTCAGTACTCAATAAAGTATCCGATTCCTTACTGTACTTGATTCCACGGTAACCGATTCCCATAAGTAATCGATTCTGACCATTACTACCTTAGAGTAGTCTTGTGTAAAACTGCTGCCTGTTTTTGTGATTTCAGCAAAAGTATTAGAAAGTGCCAGTTAAGTTAGCTACAAATGAAACCTCAAATTTGTGTTTGCGGTATTGCCATGTCCTTATTATGTATATATTTTATACCTCAAATATATGCTTTGAAACAGTACATTTTTATTATATTATTTTATAAAACCTAGTATTTTTTGAAATTTTTAAAATTCATATAAAACATGAACTAATGAATATTAGATGGATTCGACCTTTACTTGATGGAAATTCATTTTATGTAACATAATAATGAGAGAACTTTAGAATATTTAGGTGTAGAATGTGAAGTAGCGTTAAACAAAACTGCTAACAATATCGAAAAAAGTATAATTGCCAAATCTATTACAGATGTGTGTAGTGAAACTAAGAATTTATGTTACAAAGAGAATAAAACAGCAATTTCCATTAAGGCTGTTTTATCGGTGCACCAAAATTTTTTCTCTGTTATTTACCGACGAAATGTCTCGAAATTTGGACATGTTATACGAAATTATGTTGCCTTTAAACTGATGGTTTTACTTTTTTTATTTTTTTGAATTTTCTGTTGAAAAATTGGATTATACTGTTTAACGTTCTATTATAACCAAACTTTTCACGCCCATCAGTTGAAAGAGTTTTTTTTTCTGTAATCGTTGATTCTTTTTTCACCTTTCTGTGTCCAGTAATAATCGAGAAAAGCGTATTCAAACTTTGAAGAAAATTGCTAAAAAATACTGAAATCTAATAGTGAAACGTGTTCCTCATCATTGTCGCTGAGCTTGATCGTTATCGCATTAGTGACGTCAAATCACATGAGCGTACGGTATGGTCTTATTTTTATTTCTCTATGGGTACGGTCAGTTAGTTCGCTTGAATTAGAATCCATTTTAGTTCTTTCATTCTTGTATTTTCTTTATCAACTTGCTTAGTTTTTACAGTTTACAGTATTCTTATTTATTTTGAAAACATTGAAATTATTTAGTTTACGTGTATGTTAAGTAATATATTATTAGTTTAGTGGTATAAGTTAAAAGTTCTTTAGTTTACGCGTATTTTTAAGTATTACATTAGGTTAGTGATATAAGTTATAAGAGACAAGATAAAAAATGAGTCCCAGTAAACGTCCTATGTCAAGGAAAAGGAAAGCAATTGCACTGCTTTAGTATTTATTATTTATATTACAACCGTTTTTAAAAGCTTTTATTTAACTTATATATATATATATATATATATATATATTATATATATATATATATATATATATATATATATATATATATATATCTATTCAAGGTTTGAATAATCATTCTCCATTTCCAGTGGCATTTCAGCTCATGACGAGCTGAAATGCCACTGATATGATGAAATAACTATCCACGATTTGTGTTTTATTCATCAATTGGATACTTTTCTTATGTAACTGCAACCTATAAATATATTAAAATAGTGTATATTCCATTCAGAGAACTTTATCCTCGCAGTGCGTCGCCTCGAAATACTTGCCAGATAAATACATTTACTATTATGATGGTTTCGTAGGTACCAATTTTTTATAGATAAATAAAAATATTTTTTGTTTAATTTTTACTACGCTAATATCAGTTTTCTCTAACAAATATTAACAAAATATTAATTATATATTAATATTAATATAACAAAATTTAAATTTATTATAAATAAACACCATGGTGTTTTTTGCAGTCACGTTTCACAAATTTTTATTTAATACTATGTTTAGCTAAGACATATAAATTAAAAATGTGATTAATTCTTTTTAAAACATTATTTACGATAATTAATCTAAAAAAAAGTATTCCGACAAAACTCATTTGAATGGAGAATAATGCATTTATTTTAAACAACCCGTGGGCCGGCGCCACTGTCTACACATAACAGTGTAGAAAAGTAAGTGATACGCCCACTTCAAATCGCAGTATGCTATAACTGCGAAAACAGCCTTAAAAATAAATCAATAGAAAACAACATTGTGTTTACAAAAGCAGACAAAGGTAACACTACTATTGCTATAGATAAAATAGAATATAATAACAAAACAATAGAATTCTTAAATAATCAAAATATTGAAACTTTACACAAAGATCCGACAGAAAAATATCAAACAAAAATTAAGCTAGCGTTAGAAAATTCAAAAGCAATACTAAATCCTATAGAACAGAAATACCTCAATATCATGAACCCACAGCCTCTTATATATTGTAAATTATATTCTTTCATTAAACTACACAAACCGGATCACCCAATAAGAATTGTAGTTTCTTTTTATACAGCTCCGTCATATAAACTTTCAAAAAAACTGTTAGAGATTATTTTAGAACACACTAAATTTTCACCTAAATTTACCATAAAAAATACAATAGAACTAGTTAATAAAATACAATATTTTCAATTACCTAACAACTCCAGATTAATTTCATTTGACGTAAAAAATCTTTTTCCTAGTATCCCTCCTACAGTAACTTTTATTCTAGTAAAAAACCTTTTAGACCAAAATGGTACAAATCCAATAATTACATCTGAAATCTTACATCTTCTTGAAGTTTGCATAAACCAGGACTACTTTGAATTTAATAATAAAATATATACAAATAACAGTGCAGGACTTATAATG